AGCGCAGAAAGTGTACCAAAGGAGAGCGCTGAGGACGCCACTCAAAAGAAGAGAGGGGCAGTGTGGTGCTTTGTTTATGTGACTACCTGATGTTTGGCCATCACTGTAGAATTCGTCTGGCCCTTGTACACGTGGGCTGGCCTTCGGGCCACAATCAGACCCAATCTGCCCTGTCGTCTTCAGAATACATGTATCCAGCTGCACTTACTGACTTCTTATACCGGCCGGGAAGTCTCGAGATGCAACAGTCTCAGAATTCGTCGAATATTTAATGATTTTTTGTAATGGGTGTTGTGGGGACTGTCAGCCTACACTGAAGTCCTTGATCCAAGTACTTCAAGAGAGAGTTGGTTACAGTAGATTTATTAGGCAATGAGTACAGGAAGAACGGAAATAGAGGCAAAGATGGACTAAATAGCAGATAGCACGTGGAAGGAGATTTCTCACGATCTCCATACACCGAATTTTCATTCGAATTCGCTTTCCACCTTCCACTTTTAATAATAAATTTTAACACTGATATATTTTACGGATATAAGGAGCCATCATAAACATACAATTGATTTTTTGCCTACTATATTTTGTGTTAAAAGATAAAATTCATTCTATTTTTAGAGTAACGTTTTAGTGCTCCACTTTTATCTTCGACCTAGAAATCTGCTATGATGATTGGTGTTTGATGTTGGTGTCTCATGCAATGAAATGCGTGAGAATTTCAAAGTTAACTGGATTTATTTATGTATTAGAGGAGACAGTTTACCTATGTTTACGCTCGTAATATGGAACTACGCCTTCTTCTTATATCTTGAGTAATATTAGGCAACTCTTGGAACTATTCATACAGGTAAATCTTTGAAATCCAAGAAATTGCATACATGAGATGTTTTCATATGACGAAGCGCAGCTCGCGCAGCCAGTATTATCCATTTTTGCTCTTTGCAATAGCACATGTCTCGAAATCTTAGTGTATTTTTTCGCTGCTTAAGGTATAACCTATTTTGAAGCCTTGTTTATTTCAAAATATTTTTGATTTTTTCTGACACATGGTCGAAGTTGACACCCTGATTAACTGCAGATCTGGAATTTATGATGCTGCTGCTTAAGCTTCTGGCTTGTGGCGTTCTGTATGCATGGTAAAATCCTCTTGAGGCTCTTTTTCAGCAAACCTTTAAAGATCATTTTATTTGCAGTGCCCATTTTTGATGTGGTTACTTAAAACGCCTTAGTTGAATCTGATTTGGTGCTTTTGATAGAATTTTGTGTGAAATTTATGCAATGTTTATGTTATTTTTTTATCATGCATTATAGTAATTCGGGTAAATTTATGTTTTGTCAAAGATAAACTTTTCTTTCTTTTGGCGTATTCAACCTTTGATCATGAATTACCGTTCCACTCCTCAAAATTAACATAACTCACGTAACGTGACGTGATTCTTTCAGTTTCCATGCAAACGCTAGAGCCTAATTTATCTACGATCCTATTCTTTAATTTCATGATAATTTTTGTTATACTAGTAGTATCCCATTTTATTTTTTTGGTGAGATTCGCTTATACTGAAGAATTAGGGCATGTTTAAATCAAATCCAGAATGCAACCTCCAGCCTCTTCGGGAGCCCGCTTGCCTCCACCAGGACAATCAAGTCCCTCCGTACGTGCAACTCTCTCCTCATCAACTTCCGCTCATGTTGGTCTCCCTACACCTTTCGACTATCCCCCGATGCACAATATGGTTCACGGTTTTCGAAGCCCCCAACAGCCACCACTAAAAGAGGCCACTTCGCCAGCAGCCGCCTTGCCTTCTGCTTACGACATGGCCGCAGTTTTTATTTCTGCTTCTTCCTCCGCTGCTGCCGCTGCTGCTGCTGCCTCGGCTGCTTCACTGCGTCCTTTTGGTCCGTCTGCTCAAAAGCGATCGGCTGCTATCTCACCGCTAGCTCTTGGTTCTGGTGGAGGCGGGGGAGGGGTGGGGAGTGGCAGTCCTGTGATCACTGGAGGCAGCGAGTGCGACGCGACCACCGCCTCACAGTCGGACGACGCGGAGGTGGATGGCGGAGCTGGTGGTGGTGGAGGTGGTAACGAAGCCGACGGTGTCTGGTCTACAGAGATTGAGCAGTACTTTCAAGAAGCGTTGGAACTCTACCCCCCATGCGGCAGACGAAAAATCATTTTGGCAGAAGAAGGCAAAATGTATGGTGAGTGATAACTTTTACTCATATGATAAGTGTGTCTTTTTAAGAGCTATTTTGTCACCCATCATCATCAACCTATCTTTCTGTCCACTTAATCAGTCTTTTAATTTTATCTATCAATAGCTTTGTAAATAAGTTTGTGGACTAATTTAAAACTTAAGTGCAAACGTATAAACCATGATAGCGCAACATTTATGGCGCTTTTTGCCGTGTTGTTGTTTCGTTTTTATCAGGTCAAATGAAAGCATCTATAACGAATAAGAGCCTCGTCACTATGTATTTTTCAAAGCCTAATTGATGTTAATTTGAAAGTAGCAGCTATTGCTACAAATATGTAAAATACTTATAAGGGATGTTTCTTGAGACCAATTGGCGGTGAGCCCCCAACACAATTTCAAATTGTAAGTCCTAACACTTTTAAGTGTTGTTTTTCAAATGTGAAGTGAAGTAACAAATTGGCACTTGAGCTGGTAGTAGGTCTCGGTTGCAATGGAAACTCGGCCTCCAAAAAGAAGTGATGACTGCAGCATGTTATGTATGCGATGGGAGTATTTCTCTAAAAATTTGCACGCAATGTGTTTTTCTCCTGAGTTTATTTCTTCACTATTGCTTTGTTCGGCTTACATAACTGTATATAGATAGTATCTGAGCTACCGTTACTACCTCTATTTAAGTCGTCGAATTTTAACGTATTTCTGGCAGCGGATTTGCGAAAATTCCACGATAATATTCACAGATAGCGAAAAGTAAACCTATAGCGTTCAAACGAATTCCCAAAGACCGAGAAAGGGAGGTGTTCATGTGGGAATGACATTAAATTTTAGAGGCTGGACCGATTATTGTAAGATGAAGCACCCTAGTGGGCACCTGCTAAACAAAGGTTCAAACCTAAATTCAAAGTGAAATTAAATGTGCTATTTTCAGAGATGACCTTCTAGTAGTCAATGCATGTATCAACTTTTTGTTAAATGCAGATAAAATGATGGAGCGACTGTCTCAGAACTGACTAAACCGGAAAGTTCTTTGCATAAGTGTTCGCGTCTTCTATGGAATTAGTTGTGTCTTGCGCATCAGTGTAGGAGGTGAGGCACATCACGCATTAAAGGTACATTTGTTTGTATCGTGGCGCAACCGCCGTTCAACCACCAGCTTCAAGTTTCACTTACCACATTTAAAAATATTCTAAGATCCTTTAAAGTTAGTTGCGGAGCCTAGAGCATGGGATCTTGCAAGATTGTAAGTGCTACACCCTTTCGGATGGCCAATACCTCTAGACAGTTTTGCAGTATCGTTTGTCCTCAACACTTGTTTTCGGCCCCGCCAAATTAATTCGTTCGTTTGAATATCTTAGGTTCTTGCAATGGGAGATGTGGAGGTACGTCAAAAGTACCTCCCAGACTTGTTTTGACGATTAGACTTTTCTAATGTTGGTAAAAATGCTGGTGATTGGGCCACGTCATACCTGTCAAATCGGATTTAATGACAAAGTGGCTATTAATGCTAACAAATGTCTTGTGTTTGTTTTACTCGCGAACGACTTGTACTTGTCAGAATGGAATTCATTCGGCTATGTTGCTCAGCACTTCGTCGTGGCAACCGATGAAAGGCAATGAAATGAGATAAAGTGGATAAAAACCTTAAGGTCCTCTTCAGATTATTCGCTTGTAATTTGGCTTGTATTTTTTTTTCAAAAGTCCATCCAAACTGTAGCCTTCAAAGGTACAATTTTGCTAAATCTGTCTCATCAGCACCGTCCATCATTGTTGCACGGTTGAATGAGGCAAAATAGTCCTATTATGGGGAAAATATTGAGTGAGACCAAAAACTAGCGCTGAACTTCCTCTAAGTGATTATTATTTGTAGTGTTTTGTGTTTTGAAAAGAAAACTCCGTAATTTGTATGGGTCTTTGGCATGCTCATTGCTCACTGTGAATCCATCATATCCATCAAACCGTCACGTTCCATGAAGTGATGAAGGCTGTTGCTTGCGCTCCCGACAAATGTGTACAAAGGCAAATGTTAGTCAAAGCGAAACGACTGCAAAACTTCTTCAAACAACTATTCATAGAGCACTTAATGGATTTCACCTTAGTTACTTTAGAATGCTTCTTGAGTTATATCCAATGCGAAGCATCTCAAATTCGGTCACAAGTAATAGCTTCCATTCGCCTTATTGAAAAAAGCGCTTTATTGAGTTTCGTAGTGATTAGGTCTAAGAGTCCAGGAATATAAATCAAGTTGGGAAGTGTTTTGGTCTCTCATTTCCATGAGACATAACAATAAAAATAACCATTTCATTTTTAACTATTCCGAAAGTTTTCGCTATTTCACATTCTGAATAATGAACTTATCTGATTTGTGCCTTATCCTAAGCCCCAGGGATTGAAGCTTAGCAAATGCCAAAATTGCCATTCATTATTTTTTTGACCAGTGCAGCGTCTCTCGGCTTTTATTAATAACAGCAGTTAATCCATATAAAGGAGCTGAAGTGGAAACCAATTGTCAGGCTGGAAGAAATATTTCACCCAAAATTTGGCGCAATCCCTTTATACACCACCAAACAACGTCACCTAAATGGCTCCTCGCCGCTATGCAACTCATTTTACTCGTCGCCTTCTTTTTGGGGAAGGCGAAGACTAGTGTTTGAAGTGAAATCGTCTGCTCCAATTTTAATTGAAGCCAACTTTTAGTCCTACTTTTTGCTTTATCAATGACAGTCATTTTGCGATGCTGTCATCTTGCAAATCGAACGGTAGCCATTTTTGGGCTAGACTTGCAAAAATAGGGATTTGGCAGTCTGCGGTCATTGCTTTGTTTACATACTGCGTGAAAATGGGATGAGGAAAACAAAATTTTTGTATCCCAGGCAAAGCTACATTGCATAAGAGGGCGTCCAGACGTGGGAAGAAGAGGCAAACTGGAAAGGGGATGGATAATGCACAGGTGTGACTCATCTTCCCTCCTGTCTCTCTTTGGGACCTACTTTGCCTCCTCTTCCCCTGTGGCGATTGTCATTAGCGCCGCTTTAATTTGACCACCTACCGCCCAAGAGGCAGCTTAGGGCATCTGTTGTCTACGCGCCTCTCTTGTTCAGAAAGTGAAAGGTGGTGGTTGAATACGTGGCTACCCGTAGTGGAGGAAGCACATCGATGTGGCATTCATTGTCGCCTTTGCATAAGACGATTATAGATGTATGCGCTGTTTCATGTGCCTCTAAACCCATTGCACGAGTCAAAAATGGGATTAAAATTTAAACTAAATTAGATCGGAACAATGATTTAAAACACAATGTAAAAATAATGTCAAATTAATTACATAACTGTAATTAACAGGCAACTGGCAAATTACCAAATACTATTTCCACATTCTTCCCCCCTAGAATAGGCTTTGAAATCCCAAAGGCCAAAGGAGCTAGAGCCAAACAGTTTGCTGCTATCATAAGCCACTTAGCAGACTTTTCCCCTCTAGTACAGGAGATAATAAAATGTTCCTGTGTGTTTAGCGCTCACGTCCTTGGTACACCCACACCCACACATGCGCGTACACACGCGCACCTCAGAATTAGCGGCGCCATCGCTGCCCGTTGGCAACTTCGAAGGCACTTGGCTTGTTTGGGGGCGGAACGCTGTTTGCCACTTTGCATTCCACCTTACCACTCTCCTCTTCTCGTTACCGCCGTGAGTACTGTGAAGGAAATCAAGGTGTGCCTGGTTGAGCGATTCGGTCTTGACGGGCGCCGCTGTTTGCGTTGAGTTGTTCATAGTGGTTTTAGGGCTTGAACTTTCTCGCTCTTGTGCACCTCGGTGGAGAAGTATGTGGAAACCTGGTTTACCTTTCAGTTTGACCTTACCCTCTGTACACTAATTGGCATTTTTGGCCTCAACTACCATCAATGTGAGGCCCACATTATCCCAAATCTTTATTAATCTACTAATTAGTGGTTGTGTACTTGATAGTTTACTGTTTGAAACTCACTCGACTGCGAAGTTAACTTTGTTGCATCTAGAGGAATATTTTTCGATCCTCTAAGATTGTCTGCCCATGGAGGCAGGGAGGAGAAAGGCGTATACTCTTCGTAAAATTCATATTCCTGATCCTAGTATTGTAAAATTATCAAAGGAATTGTGGATTTTGTTTTCATTTTCCTCGCTGCCGACGCAGCCCGTAATAGGCGAATGCTCATCTTTGCACTACGGTGCAATTGGGTCCAAGGCTGGTAGGGCAAACTATTTGAAGCACCATGACCAACAAGTTTCTTTGGAAAATGCCACGGTCATTTGGCAATTAAAACAGAAAAGGCATCGTAAATGTCAACCTCTCTCCTCTCCCTCTTCCTTACGCAAATTCAATTGCTCTCAAGATTTATATGCAGGAACGAAATTGCAAGCGGAGAGTGGAGGATAGTGTCGTTTTTATTGCAAATTTTAGTCACTTTAATAGAAAGCATTAATTCTTGCTTGAAAGTTAGGCGGCTTTTCGAAAGCCTGACTCGCTGGCAGTCATTTAGACAGTCAAGCTACCTTGGGAAAAGTGCGATTGTTTTCTACTCGGAATTGGAAGCCATACATTGTGCTTTCAATTTAGCTACACAGCAACCCCGTGAACCCAGTTAAGTTGCTTAAGATGCTTATCAAATGAAATAAGGAATATACTTAGACAAGAAGTACTTTTCGCTGTTTTTGAAACACTTTCTACAATTAACTTGTTAGGCTCTGTAAATGCTTGTAAAATTCTGCTCTTTATGCGTACTGTAAAAGGAAAAGTTTGTCCTTTGGGGAACCCTCCTCAATCTGGTTCTGTGCTTCCCTTTGGGAATACACTATTCGGTGGATGCCTGATAGTTTAGAAAATCGAGTGGGATCAGCTCTAAACCCGCAGGAACATTTTATGTCTTGTATTGTCCAAGAAAAGTATAAGGAATCAAATTCAGCCACCTCCTCCTTTTTTTCGGAAGAAAAACTATGCATTATCACCCACTCTCCAGCAATGTTTTTTGGGTTCGGCGAAGCAACTAGGACAGAGTTAAAGACTGGGCTAATGGCTTTCATACTGCATGCACTAGCAGATATGCGTAAGCTTCAAGTTCTTTTACCAGTCACTGGCTACCCCTCAACAACTCACAATCCACACCACATTTATAAAATCACATTTAACTCTTGCAAAATCACTTATGTTTTATGCGTCAAAGTGAATGTAGATGTAGTTGTTCACCTCGAATGCATTGGTGCAGGTCAAGTACTTACGGTTGAGATTCACCCATTGTCCGATATAAAGTTTCAAGATCTACAGAAGTACATCCTTCCTCCTTTATTCCTTATTCCATTTTTCGTTTAATTTTCCGCCCCCCATCTTTACCTTCTCCATGACGAATGAAAAGGTGCGATACCTCATCTAAAACATTGCATTCTTCGTACCTTTCTCGAGAAATGACCTCATCCCACGCATTATGATGGAGATACCCTCCCTTCCATGTCTTCATTCTTTGCACGGTCTTGAGGTGATGATCCACCGTGTGATTGCCATAATTTTCCTAGGAAAATAGATGGATTGGGAATAGAGGAGTGTTTTTTTACTCCATTCCTATATCATATGCAGTGCCACTGTATCTTAGCCAAAATAGCCTTTTAAGCATTCCATACTTTAATACTCGTCAGATTCTACTTTGGTAATGCATTTTTGCACATTCAAAGAAATTACGTTAGTGACAGTTTTTTTGCAGTGGAGGATTTGACATTTCCATAAGGCAATTCATGTTTCATTGGCGTCAATGTTGACGCATAAATCGTCACCCAACTTGCAAGTATAAACAACATAATCGGAGTAGACGCTGAAATGGGAACAATAAGTTGTAAATATTTTGCGGTCTCTCGAAGCAAGTTCGCAAATAAAAACTATAAATCGCGAATTCTGCAAAGAGCTTATAATAGAAACCTGTAGAGTGGACTTACCAGGACGGTCTGGGACATATGTCGGACTTACACGGCCACCACTAGGGGCAGATTTATTTAAAAACCTTTCCTATGACTGCAGACCACTGTATGTTTTGTACTGAAACGTCTTTGACAAGGGTGTAATTTTTTTCACTGAACTTCAATACTATATGACAATTGGAGGGAGGTTAATGCTGCTTGCGCTTGACTTAATGCGCAGCTGGTTGCAATTTGCGACAGGAACGCACCCAACAAGGAGAACTCCTCCCAAAACTCCACAGAGGCAACATGGAGCGCTATTTTCATGCACAAAGTAGAAACGAAAAGGAGTGCAGGCTCTTAGCTTGCGCACGAATTTGCTGTGAAATTTTTCAAGGGATTGTGACAAGTATGTGATTAGTAGCTTGCCAAGTGTTCTACGTTTTATATTATGCTTTCTTCATGGGAATTGAGATTTCTAGGCTTAGGCAAGCACTCCACTGCTTAGTCTCTTTCAGGCAAAGGTCTAATGATGCAATGCATTCAGTTGTGCCTTAGCAACTAGCAAACGACCCTACCAATTGCTAATACTTTCGCATCGAGAGCTGCTGTGCAGAGTTAATTGACCTATTGTTCGTTGAGATGGCAGTCTTGTACTAATACAGGTTTCACCATGTATGAGGAAGAAGGGAGGTAGACCTAGCGTTAGAGCATGCCTAGACATGACAAAATATTTGACCTCGTGAGTCCTACGCCTTTCACCCTCTTTTTTCACTTCTAATTGCCACCCGGTAGGATCAACCCCCTCACTTTCGACATGTGCCACGCAGGAATTTGGCGCTTCTCACGCAGCAGCTACATCAAATCAACAGTCACGCACACCCCACGGAGGAATGCAGTGGTGTGATGCGATTATGCGTGTACTCTTTCACCACCTCTGTGTGTGTGTGTGTGCCCTCTTACCTACTCAATCACATAAGAAGTAGGCAACCAGGCACGCGCACGCCTATCTCTCCTTCTTTTTCACGATGTGATTGCAATTGTGAATGATGGTGGCTGTGGGATTTTGACATTTAGGAGTCACATGCACATACATAAACGCAAGGGCAGTTGGTAGGTATAAGAAATTTAAATGCTTTAACAGTACTTTTGAATGGCCCTATGAAAGAGGAGTTTTGTAAATAGTATGCTGAAGCTTCCAACATACCTCGGCAGAATAAATGCTTCCATCATCTTCCAAAATCTCTTAACGTGGTTTTTAAATGTCACTGACTTTCACTTCAGGTGGTACAGCTGTTTATTTAAAGTCAGCAATTCACACATTGCATCGAGCACGGCGTAGTGGAGGAGATTGCAGCGGAAGTGACGTTTTGCTTTTTTGTACTGCTGCGACTGTATAGCAGTGGTGCTGGTGGGCAAGCGGACGTTACACTTCGCTCTTTGGGTGAAGAATTTTTACCATTAAGAGAAGGTGGAATGAATGACATCTGATTTCCTGGCTACAATTTCCGTTACCATTGTTTGTTGCATTATGAGTGAATAAATCTGGCTCCTCCTTATTGATGCTGTCATCATGCACCCTATGCTATGTGGAAAAATTTTGCATTTCCCAAATTCTAAGTGAACCTGAAGTAGAAGCAAAAAGCTGGTCCTTCAACATTAAATATGGCGAGTGATAAAGTAACGCTGAAAGGAAATGTTTTTGGAGGATCGCAGTGCATATCAACAGGATAACTAAGGAGTTTGTGCCATGCCAGGGATGAAAACATTCCTTATTGCGTTATGTGCGTGACTCACAAATACCATGCCAACAATTCACCTAATAAGTTATCCGCCAGGGAAGTTGTTTTCATTTTTTATGCTGGCATTACCGAAGCACCAGTGTAAGTTCATCGGAACGGCAATTTGTGATAGCGGCGGCGACACCAAACACATCACATTTGACTACTTCCCCAGGGGATTTCCAAGGGTGCAATGCGACAAGAAGGTCATCTAAGGAACTGTTCGGTTTTGTCTTGGGCAGATTTCTGGATATTTGCAATTGGGTAATTTTGGCTGTAATAGCTTTTATGTCTACAAAAACTCCAGGGTCTGAAAGGTGAATTTCCGAGGGATCACGAAACAGGTTTGATGGCTTCAGCATCGGAGTCTCATGACATCGCCGGTGCCTTCTACGATACCTTAGCCGACAGTATTAAATAATACTTTATTTTAATACCCCACTACCCAAGAATAAAGTTAAAGGTATGACATTTATTTCCACAATTATTTTTGTTTCACTTACTTCCTACATGAATGCGGCCCTTGGGTCGACTCAGGTTGACGACCGCCAGAGGACTGTATGTTGAAAATTCAAAAAAGTTGCATCTAGATTTTATTATTTGAATAAAAATTTGAAGTGAAAGCCTTTTTTGATGCACATTTACTCCATACTTCTTCGTTCTACCCCAGTTTTTATACAATCACCAAGGTGAAAGCATAATCCATGTGTAAATTTTGGTAGGCTTGATGATGTAGGGAAATTAGAAAGTGCCAATTGTCCCTGAGACTCTGCATGATTGTCATTATCAGGCAATTTCGGTCGCATGAACCGAGCACTAAAGCAGGTACAACATTTGTTAAGAGGCAGCACTACGAAACCATTTAACAGCCATTTTATATTTTACATTTTGTCATATAGGTCGTAATGAACTGATAGCCCGCTACATTCAGCAACGAACAGGCAAAGTGCGTACAAGGAAGCAGGTCTCCAGTCACATCCAAGTGTTGGCGCGTCGCAAGTCCAAGGAACTGCAAGCAAAGATTCGCGATCCTGAGATTAAGAAGGAGACCATTAACCAGTTGGCAAAGCTCTCGTCAGCTCAAATCGTCTCACGAGATGTAGCAAAGGGTTTACAGTCCGAAGGGAATGTGAAATTTCATCCGCAACAACCTCTGCCTTCACCCACCTCCTCTTGCTCTTCCTCCGCTGCTGCTGCTGCGGCTGCGGCCATCGCCGCCTCGAATCAGCTCCATCATACCTTCCACGGCCAACAGCAATATCCGCGCCAACAAGTTCCCTATCGGCCGACTCATTCCACGAGAAAATCGTCGATTGGGGAGGGAGCACCACAGCGAAAGATGATGCGGCTTGCGGGTGCGTGAGTAACCATTAGAATTGGTGACTGAATAACACATTTTGTGTTTTAAATCTGGAGTAACAAAGTATTTCGGGCTAAGATAGCCTCTTCCGCCAGTCCAAACCAACTGAACTATAGGTGAATCGAATGCGTGAGAGAACATCCACTTCAAGACATCAGTCTTGAATAACTTTGATGTTTAATGCCCTTTCATGATGCTTTACGCGTAAGCCACTTAAGCCCATTGAATGCCACTCTTACCAATATCTGCATTCTTAACGCAGTTTGACTCGCCATTCGAAGCATGGTCAGTTCCTAGGCTTAAAAGTCTTTGAAATCTCATGCTGTTATGATGAACGCGCCTTCCATATTTAATTTATTTCTCTTGAATTAAAAACTTTCTCCCAAAAAACGATTTTGTCAACGTCAGGTTTTATATGGCCTTTAAAAATGTGCTTTGCATTTGCTCATGATGGGTTTAGGAAACTTGAGCCTTTTACCGCGGACACGTGTGTTAAAATGATTGATTTACTGCTCGCAAAATAAAGACGACTTTTCTGTTTTCTATAAGTTCTCATAAATGAACTGGTATAGTATCCGTCACCAATCCTTAAGTGAAAACTCCTTTTTTCCCGCTACTGCATTAGTAGAGCTAAAATGCTGACACTACAATCATAGAATTTCGGTATCATCAAAAATTAGTATAAAAATACGAGTCACTTCTGCATGATAATGCTACACTCTTTTCCCAGAGTGCGTGTTAATGTCAAACCCAGGCTAATGCATTCAAGTGCCATCTCTGACAGTCAGAAATGCCTCTGCGTGTGAAAGTACTGCCATGGACTAGAGTGCACAGGACTCATTGCATTACGCTTTCGCCTTAAAATGGTTTAATTACTCCTCTGCCAGGGCGTTGTCAAGGCGCTTGTCTGTTGTGCATACCGCCTTGTCGATACACTTATTCAGGTACTTACATTTACAAGTCCTGAGTAAAAACTTTTTAACTGAAAAAAAAAACAATTCTTTGCTGGTGCCAAAATGGCAAGTGACTGGGCTCGTTGATGCTTAACATATAAAGTAAAAGGTTTCTGACCGATAGCATGCCAATCAGCATTCATTCACCCAAAGAGGTACAAATGATCTGATAGCTCATTGGGAGCTCAGTCAACCGTCCTTAAACTTTCTTTCTGCCGCCATAGCTTTAACTGTGAGACCAACAGGCATCAAATTGGATCATCTGGAAAGCTCTCTATATAATACAGTTCCTTTTTCCAGGATATGAGCACTAGAGTCTGGCATGTGCTTCAATGCCCTAACAGTTTGTCATTGCATGTGGACATTCCATAGCTGTTGAGAAGCTACTCTCAAGAAAAGCATGGCATCATAGCCTCCGTGCCAAGATAGCATCAGTGGGAACAAAATTCCAAAAAGCCAGCCAAAGATATTTCGGGTTCCCTTAGGGGAGAAAATCATTACAAAGATAAAAAACTCCAAATTTTTCTATAAAAATTTTTCAGTTGAACAATCGATGCTATCAGCGCTCCCTTTGGATTGTACGGCGTTGTATGATTCCTAAAATTTAAATTTAAAAGGGTTCGTCTACGGCCTCCTAGCCTAGCAGTTTGTGCATATTATTTACCACAATATTTAACTTTCCTCATTTGCGTGAGCTGGAAGAAGTGATTCTGCTACGCCCTCTGGAAAAGCATTCATTCTCCCACCACCAAGCGTCCACGAAGGAGGCACCGCCGTCATTCTACGTATGTGTGCATGCGTGCCTTGTTTAAGCTTCGAATGCTGTTTACTGGAAAATGACTACTGGAGAGAAATGTTTAATTAATCATTTGGCAGAGAAAATTTTCGTGGCTCTTAACCACTCTCCCCAATTCCAACTTGCTGATAAGACACTCCATGATACTGTTTCTAAACTTGTTCGCTGCAACCTGTAAAAAAAGGCTTAACAAAACTGAATGAGAAACAATTGCACGAATCTTAGTTACTACAGTCCTTCTTATTTCATCCCATTGAGTCATTCATCCACTTAAACAGGAATGCATGGAACGTCAAGTACTCAGGCGCTATTCACTGAATTTCAAAGATGCGGGAAGCCAAATTTCTCTTGAGTAACCACTCACGTTGAATTCATTAATTGAGTGGTGCCGCGTCAGAGTAGTCAAGATCTGCAGGAGATCAACAGCTCTGCACAGTCATTCGCATCATTATTTTCATGAGTGTAAGATGTCATATGACCTGACAGATAAAGGTAGAATGGTTAGTTATTTTCACATACACATTTTCTCCTACCTAAGCACCCATTTCACATGACTCAGTCTGATGGCTTAAAAAATGCACCAAAGTAGAATGGAATCAAAGCCCGCCTTAGTATATTTGGGTCCGGTAGTGCATCCAAGACCCTATTGTTTACGGTTGCTGAAATTTGACACTCAGGGTTTGGGATGAAGTGCGGTGTCCCTAAAAAAAGGCTCAATCTTCAAGACGCTAGCATGCCTCAGTCGTGAGAAATTTGCCTTCCTCCGATGGGTCTCCACTGCCTTCATGTCTACTTTCATTATTGGCTGACGGAACAGCTGGTCATTTCTGGCGTGAAAATTATAGCTGTGATTATCTTGTTTAGTTTATTTTCGACCGTTGTTCATTGTTTAAGGCTACAATATGCTTAGCCGTAACACCAAATCACAGGCGATTAGCTAAAAATGGTTTATTGCACGTACTTTACGGCTTTTAGTCCAAAAGCTATTGTTCCTTATGCTGAAAAGTGAGATTCATTATCTCTATTGAGGAAAATGCGTTTGAACACTTATTATCTCGATAAGGTAGCAGCTAGCTACGAAATTCTCAAACTAGTGACGTATCCAAAAATATATATATAACTACCTGTATACATGTGTATTCTTCTCCATTAGAACCAGAAGTATACGACACAGCCGATAGTTTCCTCTCTCTCAACAATGGCCAGCATCCCGCCATACACACAGGACGAGGTGGAGATCTGAAGCTTTGTTCTTCAGCCATCTCACACCGCGTAGTCATGTCCGGACCTCCACCAAATGCATTTCCCTCCGATACCCATTACTCCAGTCTCTACGTCCGTCCGCACAACCCTAATCCGCACCACAATCCTCATCTCGCACAGCATACCACACCGCTGCCACCGCTGCTCGAGATGAGCGATTGCGGCAGCGACAGATGTGTGCCCTCAGCAGCTCCGCCACTACCGCAGCACCCGCCACCGCCACCACCACCACCACCCGACTTTAGCGCTATGCAACTTGCAGCAGCAGCTGGTCTGGAGCACTATTTTTCTACTGGTCGATCGTCTTCCATCGAGACGTGTCTCTATCCAAATGCCTTTCAACCACCACCACCGCCTCCTCCTCCTCCTCCCCCACCCCCACCACCACCCTCTACACAATCGGTCGCATCAACCGCTGGACCGCCTCCAGCGCCTCTGCCGCAGATTCTTGAACCCAACCACTCACCTTCCGACTTTGGCATGCAGCGGTGGATTAACAGATCCATCGCCTCGGAGAAACTGCGCCTCGTTGAGCTGTGTGCATTTGTCGAATACCCCTGCCAAATATCAGATTGCGCTGCTCAAGATTTGGTAAGCAAGCCTACCAGTATTTGCAGTTGTAAATGGGAAAAAGTAGGACAGGTTAAGTTCAAATTTTGTTTTCTTTTTTCTTACAACCCATTGGTGCGAGACATTGCATCCAATTTATAGGCGAAATAGGTAAACATGAGCTGAGTATCTGTCAGTGCAAATCTTACGTAATTAAGGAGCCGTTTTAAAAGTTGTTTCCCATTTGAATAATCTTTTCTCAGGCTTCTGTGACCATGGACTGCTTCTTTTTGGTTGCCTTCCATTAATCAGTGATTCTCTTTGACCATCCGTTTAATGCCTTACCTGTCAATCCAGCATTAAAATGTTAGCCATTGGTTTGCCATCAAGAAGGCTTTGAGGATTCCTCGGTTGTTTTTATCTTCCTCTTAGGTTGTTAAATCTAATTTTACTATTTCAAGTTATGGGACAAATGTCAATCAGATCACAGATGCTTACTGACTAAACAATCCTACAACTAAAAGGGATCGAGATCCGCTGGAAATAAACTCAGCCTAAATGAATTTGAAATGGATAATAAATATGGGTTTTGGCCTTTTTTGGATAATCACCCTTCACACCACAATTGGCTTATTTATACAATTTTAGCTCTTTTTGCCGTTTAAGCGTGTGTATACGTATGCGCGTTCAGTGATTTAGCTTGCTGTGCAATGTAACAACAGTTGTCATGCGGGGCGGTTTGTGTGTATGCGCGTTCTTGTTCGAGAGAGTGTGCGTACGTGTATGTCCGCCTCCGCTCACCTCGCCCATTGCCCATCTTGATGATTCCGAGATTTACGAGAGCGAATTTTGCTTGCCAGGATGTGCGGGTACACGCACGCACTCAGGCACGCAGGCACTAGGGTGCCCACTAGTGTACACGGCTGTGTTTGATGCCTGACCGTAGGCAACAACGCCTGGAGGGAAGAAGTCAGGGACCTGCACACGTACACACACAAGCATACACACCCACAATCCTGTTTGGCGGTGTTTGCAACACTTCTTCCGCACCTCTACCCTCTTTCCAACTCGCTTGACTTTCTCGTCCCCTCCTTTGCTCTGTCCCATTCTTGGGCATCGATAAAGCGAATTTTAGAAAGCGTTTCTAATCTGCGGCAAAATTAATGTATGTTTGAGTTATATGCCTGTGGAAGGCGCTCATTAAGTCCAAATAAGGTCATCGGTTTACTGCAAGTTGCATTTCAAGTGTGAAAGTACATGAAACCTATATAGAGGTGGATTGAAGCAATAGACTCGACGTGAACAAGGGGTGCAATCTCAGTGGCACACAGCCCTTTTGTGCCGCCCCTCTATTTGGTCTAATAGCAAAGTTTAAGTGTTGCTTTCTTAATAGCTATATGTAGTTAGAAACAGATTAAAATGCCAGTTTTGTGCAAAGGATACGTCTTTTGTCTCTCATTTCCTCCAAGTAGCTGGCTAACCAGAGTGACAGCGTGAACATCGGAGTGATTGAGCTCTGACCTAACAAAGCATTCAGTTCCTTGATCACAGTAAGGTAACCTACTTACATAAGCTGATACACTGTGTCAATACTTTAGTCGCTTTTGGAGGAGAGTCAGTTTGATTTTCTGTGCTGGGAACCTGACGCGCCAAAGCAATGCAGACGCTAGAAAACACGTGGGTCTGTTGGGGCATTTTGACCTTCCCACATCCTTGTAATGCGTCTGTGCACGTGATCCAGTAGTTGTAGTAGTGAAGAGGCGTGTGCCTCCTTGCCTCCCTTGCGCGCATCGTGAAAGTCCATGCACGTCCTGCGAGGAGCAGGCTATGCTTGCGGTGTGGCATTTACATGATGTGTGTACCTATCATACACTTCACTGACATTTTCCGCCGGAAGTGATTGAGTCAGTATGCGGATTTGTTGGTGTTGTGTACCCTTTCCTATTCTTTCCCCCCCCCTCCATATCTAGCCCTTCCAGTGTTGATTGATTCACCACAAGTTCCACGTAGAACAGTAGAGACGGTAAGTGGTCGCTACTTTTCCATTTGATGTTTATCACATTTCTCCTACGACAGCCATACGTAGGGTCTGCACTCGAAAATGCCTGCGAAGAATTTCAGCCACAAACATTGATTTGATCTGCCTAACACCTAGTTTCCTGGTTTGAAATAAGCGAGCATTTTGCTCCGGAAAGTGAGCACTCTTGCTAATTCCAAGTGTATCAATAAAACGTTGATTGATAACAAGACCCATGAGCTTCCCTCATTATTTATTATTTGTCATAAAATTGTTTTTATCATCCTCGGTTTGACTATTCCGGTCTGATCAATTTTGGTAATTATGAGTGATGAAATTGAATAAGTTTTATATTCTTCACCATGTGCCATTTCGCTGTGGTTTACAAGGAGGTAGCGCGATTGGTTAAAGTATGCGCGCATCGTCATTTTATGAAGTAAACTTAAATTACCGAGAATTTAATCCAAGATCGCTCTCGCAACGCAAAAGAGCTTCACGTCTCATGGCACTGGGACTGGGTAGGCTCGTCAAATGTTGTCAAAGGAGTGCTCTTCCTTGCTCTTCCAACTCGGCAATATGACATAGGGTGTGCTTGGGATGTAGAACGAGGAAGCTTCACTGGTGAGCTTAAGTGAACATTTTCAGTTATAGTTTGCCAAACTTTGCATTAGAGTTACCATGAAAGCGGTGATGCATCTAATTTATAGTTCTTATAACAAATCAGACTGCCGTTAAAGTAGTGATTCATTTGTGTAAACCTAGTTTACTTCCGTCTATAATGTCATGGCTTGTGGTCTCTGTAGCAGCATTTTGACGGCCCCCAACCCCAAAGATATAATCGTGAGAGGGAAGGGGTTTCAAATCCTTTGCATTGCTCTTTCCCTCTTTCGCGGGATGCCATCTCTCAGCAAGATTGATGGTGCGCCCGGTTCCTTACCTTCCTGCGTGCACGCGCGTCCACCTTCAAAGTGTGTTGCAAGACTGTGCGTACCCGTGGAAATGATCGGACCGAGCAACTGTTTCCCGCCTCTCCCCTGCTTTGTGTCCGCCCACCCTCATTTGTGTGCGTGCGTGCGTTTGTAAGCCAAGCGCGCACAGCTGACAAGACTGAAGGGTGTTTGTGCGGTGTGTGATGTGGTGGTGTTGTGCTGATGGTTTTGCGCACTCGCGTTCAAGATCGGTGTGCGTCCCTGTGCCTATGCACTGCTTCCCATGGGGATGCTGTTTTGCTCCGCCGCCACCACCACTGCCGCCATCACCGCTGCCACGCCTTCTACGAGGCTTAGTAAACCACAGGCTCGTAGTTTTGTCAAATTGGTGCGCCTGCACTTTTAAGTATGGAAAATTATTGCCTCCTCTTTTATATTCAGAATAACTGCTTTGCTGAATCTAGATTTTTCGACTTATTCTTAATATCGGTTTTGCAATCCATTATGTTACAAACTTTGGGATAAACAAACTCCCGGTAAACTCGGAGTTTTATCTGTTCTGTAAGAGGCAGTATAAAAAGTTTCCATTAAGGATGCTGACCAAAATGTCGGCTGGAAAGTCGCAAAACTGCTTCCAAGTAATCGTTTTTCCCTCGATTGTCGTTGCTGCGTGGTTATGGGAAAGTGAACGGTGCTCTAACCACATCTTCAATTGTCGAAATGAATTGGATAACCCTAGTGGATTGATTAGTCATATCTACAAAGTGCTCCGAAATTAGGCGCGGGAGAAAATGTAAAAACAAGCGATAACCTCCTGGAGTCTCAATTATCTGCTAAGAACTGTGGTTATCAAAAAAACCTTTAATACACTTCCCTGAATCTGTCGATCCTTCAACTTGATTTGCGGTCGAATGCGAAAATACGTCCACACGTCAGCGGACCTTCGTGCTGGAGCTCACGGCTTTTGTTGCTTGTCTCTTCGCCCACTAGGACAGTACTGGTTTCATGTCCGCCCTTTCGAAGAATTAACTTTACTATTACTGTCAAGAGTCGTGTTTCTGTTTCATTTGTGTTTTAATAATTAAACGCCTTTTTGGTTAGTCACGGAATACTGTCAACTGGATTAACTCTCCCAACCACAAGTAGGTAAGTCTATTTGCCTTAATGCTGGAATCCACAGCCATAAGGTGTTTTAGTCGTGCCTGTGACGTCTCCCTTTGACCTTTTCTATGACCAACCAATGTAATGCTAATTATAGGCTCCTTGTTAAAAATTGAACTGAAGATGGGCTTAAACATATGCATATTTCCCTCACTTTCCTAATGAACAAAGAGTTCGTCAAGGTAAGATAAAACTGAGAGAGGTTTGGAGCAACATCTGCATCATTTGACAGTTTGAAACTTGAAAAGGAGGCAAGAAATGCAGAATGCAAATAAATGAGCAGAGGTTCGTGACTTGCCTGAGAAGACAGGAGGTCACAATGCGAAAACAGAAGAGCCTTCGTTCAGGTCCTAAAAGGATAAAAAGACAAGTAAAGCAAAGCGTTTGTACTTGTTATTGTCCTTAGTAGAATAGGCCATTTGAGCCGTAGGCTCCACACTAGTTGGGTGTTTCACATTCAAGTAATTTGTCGTGTCATCGTCCAGGCTGTGCTGCAGCAAACAGGACTTATGCAGCACATTGGACTCAGTGGCAGTTAATAATTACCCTCTAATTATTGCTGATCCCATGTTAGAAAAAAGCATTACCTTTTGCTCCGTCAAATTGCATCATTGAAAGGTCAACGATCGCAATTAACAATGCGGAGTTATCTAATTAGCCATTCTGCTACCGCTTTGCTTGAGGATCAACCCCTCCCTCCCTCCCTCCACTTATCCCAGTGATGTGTTCAGGTGTGTTCGTAAATGCTGTTGGATGATAACACTTCGGTGTCTCCATTCATGAGGCATCGAGGACATTCCGTACAAAATGAATGCAAGCAGATGGTCATGCTCTGCTCTGCCTATGTGGACCTTGGTTCATTTGCGCGCTGATGAGGAGTTAAGCCACTTTAAATGGACTCCTATCGCCTCATTTTGTCGTTTTTTGCAGCACTGGATGCTCTAAAGGAGAAGGTTGGAGAAGGCATGCCAGATTAATGTGGCTTCAGAAAATGTTTCAACAGTCATTCTGGGAATGGCATATGTACATTACCGAATTGCCGTGCCAATTTTACAGCACACATTTGAGAAGTCCCTCGCCTCTTCCGTAATTTTCAAGTTCGGTGTCAATTTATTTTCATATTGAGGCAAATGTGGTGGAAGCAAATTGCATATTCCGAAAATGGTGAAAGTCTTTTTTCAGCCTCTTGAATTCAATTATCTAGACTACGAGAAAGCATTTCTTCGAGCATATACAAATGGCTAAAAATTAAGAAAAGAATTGTCACTTTATTCAATATCGAGTGACAATACTTGTAGTTTAATTTCAGCGTATCTTTAGGTAAATTGCAGAAGTGTACACATTTGGTTTTTGATTGCTTCCATAGACCCTGAATCCGGAGTCAGCACCCATGAAGCAGCACAATTTTGCGCACATAACGACGAACGGCCTGCGCTCATCTGATCCTGTTCTTGAAGAAGTGGATGCCAGCCAAATATGGGACAAATTCCCAACTGATGGACTCAAGCAACGCATTGAAGAGGACTCACCCAACGTCTTTTTCCTCGTGAAGCTCTGGGTAGGCTCCAGGATCCCCTCGACTAGGAGGTGTCCAACACCTCAGCCTTCAAATATCTTCTTATTTAGGGTTGATATTTAAAACATGCTTTTCGCTTAATTGTTTGCACAACTTATCACCTGGGTAACAAAACTGTCTTTGTCCTTGAGTTGCAGTATAGTAGAGGTAATGTAAGCTAGTTTAGACCTCCTGGCACTGTTACAGGCCCCACCCGATTTCTTATCCCCCATTCTGCCACATACCACTAATGCGTAAGAAGGCCGAAATTGCCCCACTTTCCGCCCATTTATAAACAAATTCAGGGCAATGGGCACACGTCACTTGTTCAACAGCAAAATGAGACTCCTTGAGTTACAAGGTTTCAACGAACTGCTGTGTTCAAAATATTCTCTCTTTTCAATTAACATTGCTGCTTGTTTATATTAAGCTAATGTTGGCAAACATCTTGTATATTAGTTGAGAGATCTGGAAAACAACTGTTTTCAATTTTGGATGCTCTTTTTTGGGGCTGCATCTTGACAGGATGCTGTAGATTTAAAAATAATATGGCAGAACATTTTTCTGCACTCCTGAGTTAATGCCTTGGGTGCACAAAATCCACTCCACACCTCTCGTTTACTGTTTCATTGAAGTCTACAGCCTACAGTCTCATGCAGTCGATCAACGTTTTAGGCGCAGAATAATTTCATATTTACGCATTAAAGACGGGAGACCATTTGACTTCTCTGTCATAGTGGCTTTTTACGGCATAATATGTCTTGAACTTACTGGCATCCGATCGTGACCATCCAAACGATCATAAGGTTAATAACTCGAGGTTTCTTTCCCGAACATGGCCACACCAACCACAAACTGATTGGTGTGGAGCTAAGGCGGGCACGTCACCGACCGATCAAGTGTTGGTTCCCTACTTATCAATACTCATTGCAAATTTTTTTGCGCTTCCCTTCACGCGCCCCTTTCCCAACTTTGCATTTCAGTCAACCATCGTTCACGCAGCGTATTTCTTATAAAAGGAGCAATGTAAGAGTATTTGCCTCCTGAATGTTTTCTTGCCCTTATTATTTGTCTGTCGTGGTTCACGCGCACTTTTGTGTTGTGTTTGTGTATAGCCTTAGTTTCGTATTCAATCGTTGTCAGTGCACACAAATACACATTTTGGAACCAAGGTGAAGGCTTGCACACACTTCCCGCATGCTTCCTTATTTGTCCCACAAAATGTCTTCCTTCTCATTACAGGCCGACATCAATACCGAACTTCCCGAGGGCGCAAATTATGCTGTTTCCTCTATGTAAGTTCCACCTATATTCTCAAGCACTCGCTGCTATAACATCATCCACTGACTTCAGCAGCAACGCATCTGCCACCCAATCACACTACCAATGGGGCGATTAAGTAGGAGGCTATCCTTAGCATAAATTTATGCTGATTTGCACCTATGCCCTTTTATTCGGCCAAATGAAGTCATATATGCTTCCGAATGCGTACTTTTTAGTGCTTTCTAAAGGGAACCTGAGGCAACAAAGGAATTAATTTGCTGATCGACTCATCACGGATTATTTATCATCACTTAGAAAGGTCTTTCTTATGGGTAGTGGTGGTAGTTTGTTGGTTCTTTCTTACTCTCCACAAATGGAGATTCATAAATACCTTTGTCTTCTCGATTTTAAAATCACTCTACTTCGATAATGGGAAGCCCTGCGTACAGAAAGTTTATCTTATGGTTGAGTAGTCCATTTTATAAAAGAAATTGGTTCAGTTTAAGCCAGCATGCTAGACATAGTTGCTTATTGAAAATATTAGATAATTTGCTGATTTTTGGAAACACTTTGAGAATAGGTCTGTCAAAACTGCAACTTTTGAAACAGTAACGTATGTCTGGTAACAATCTCACAATCTGGTTTTTCATCTTTTGTAGATTTGAAGGAACAGAAGATGTGCCTTTACTCGTATCCACACGACTTTGCTCCTACAGCTCTCCATTTGTGGAAAAACTCGAGGTAGGCAAATTGCTTTCAACTTTTAGGACTAACCAAGAAAAAACTTCTACTAATAGTTAATAAGTATAAAATTTTAATTGACATATATTGCAGTACGAGAGCCCAGTACTGGAAAATGGCCGGTACGTGTACAAACAACTACGAAGCCCAATGTGCGCATGCATGAAGAAGTTCATCGCCAAGTTGCTCAAACTGTCGTCCCTTGCTGAAATGAATCAAGTACTTGAAAACTTCACCATCCTTCAAGTACGTCGTGTTTTCACAGTTTATCAGCTATGTACTGTAATGGAGGGGAAGATCACTTATAATGGCATGAATTTCCTCCCTTCAGATTGTGACAAACAAGAATACGGACGAAGTACTTCTGGGCATTGCCTACGTTCTCGAGGTATCAAAGTCTCTGAGGGGAGCGCAGCACAATATTTACCGCCTTGCCAAACCTGACGTGTCCACCACTAATCAGCGACCGCCTTCAGTAAACCTCAATGGCCAACTACCCCCCTCCACTACCGCGGTTGATTGAAGTTACTGTATCCCTGAACCTACAAGTGTCATTCAAGGATGTTCCTACAGGCAAGGCAGAGATTCTGCCTGCCCTCTAGACCCACCCACCTTTTGTAATTATGTCTCTTCAAAGCTACACTGAATATTTTTCTTGAATTGACTGTAAAAAGAGGTATGACTTAATCAACTCTCATTTCCTTTGCGCCATCTTAAAGTGCCTTTACTTCTTACTTCTCTTCTCTATTTCAGCGCCAGTGACAAATGGATCTAATTATACATTGTAAGCATGTACAAAGCAAATCATTTTTCCTTCTGACAAATCCTATTTATGACTGACGCAGGCTTAAGCAAAAGCGCTAAGAGAGGTGTTTAGTGAGAATGTTGTATAGAATCAAAAGCCCAGAAAAATGAGTGAGACAATGCAACGCCCTCCGCCTTTAGGAGCAGCACAATCCTTACATAACTCCTTAAAGCATAAGGCCAAAGTCTGTCAAATTTTATGGTTCTAGAAATATAAGTACTGCGACGACAAAAGGGACTTTCTTTCTAAGTTCAATTCGAGACAAGGGATCGCGGAAGCGGTAGGTTTGAGGTCTCAATTTTATCAACGTTGGCACTATTCAGGATACTCATTTAAAATTTATTTGCCAATGTTTTAGCCGGGAATTCAGACGTATTCCGTTTACAGTAGCGAGGTGTATGCGCCTTATCTCCTGTAGCGTTGCAGAGAGGACACACAAGTTTTCGCAGAACTGGACATGTTACTCTTCCCAGTTCATCCTTTAACTACAAATGGCAATTTTACAATAAAGAGGTTCAAATATTGATGCTACATGTGGATGCTGAAGCTAGTAAGAAATGGAGATTACCTTGTGGCTAGAGTAGACCTCAAAAGTTTCGTTGTTATTGCGACAGAAGACGCACAACCTTCGGCTAATGGTGCTCATGAGGAGGAGCACACTTTCTAGCTGTTTGAAGAATTTGACTAGCTGAGCCATCTCATGCAGACCTAAGTGGGAACGGCGTTGAAGATTGTTCATCAACCTAAATAAATTAGAAAAGAGAATCTGAGCTCCTACTGTTAGTTTCGGTTTTTATGCCACAAGGTTAAGGACCAGTAATGGTTTGTGTTGGACTATTGTTTAAGAGTCTCCACTCCTCTAGCCCTTAAAATGAAGGGGAATCCCTAACAAGGTGCAATTCTACTTTCTCCGACTGCTATAGGATGTGAGGTTGAGTGAGGGTCAAAAACTTGTTTCCTAAACATATTCGCTGCTATGTCTGTCTTTATCGCCAAAAATCACCCTGACCCATCAGCAATTGTTATTGTTGTTCTTTCATAGTGGTAGAGTGTTGTGAGGAAGATAAAGGAAGGACGCGCAGATATCTCATTTGCCTTACTCCAAAGGCAACCGCGATCCCCGTGCGTACGACTCGATCATCTATTGACACGTATTTTCTGACAAGAATTGCTTCAAATATCTCACTTCCTCCTCCAAAGGCCAGTTTTACTAACCGCTTCTACTTTGCAAATTGTGATGCTCTTAGAACTAATGAAGGCAAAATTATTGAAACATCCTCAGTACAAATTATTAGCCTTATTGTCTTAAGCCGTCTCTACCATTCAAAAAGCATCACCTTAATTTCTGACGGAAGAACTGCGTGACACAAAAGCTTAATACCCGACTGCTGAGGACTGTGGCAATTAAAGTGAACTTGAATAAGCATAGATCCACTATGATGCACACGACTTCAGCTTGCCACCATCGCAGCCTCTGCTCTTATCAGCACTGCCACCAATTGGGGCAAAGCACCTTGAGTGGCGAACTCCCCGATTTTCACTCCTGTAAAATATTCAGACGTAACTTGTTCCACACTTTGCCTCGTTCTTACCGTGATTTAAAATTTAAAGTTTCCCAAACGTATAAACCTAGCTGGTGTGTCATCGAGAACCTTTAATGCTGTTGTGCAAAGTTTGGAAATGGTAGTAAAGTTGCGTCACGTCAGACGAGGATAAATTCGACTTTTATTGCTAAACTTTGAATAGCGTCTACTTGGAGGACCATTTTGAGCAAAACCATCATTCCTCGTAGACACCACTGCGTTAAATGGATGCATTTTTCCCCAGAACGGTCACACTTTGGGCGAGAGTGTCATTGTGTAAACAAGCAATGTTCAAAGAGGTGAGCTAAGAAAAAACTTACAGGTTTTGCCAGAAAAGGAGTTCTCTCATTACCATACTAGTCAAAGTCCTTGTAGAAGTGGGATTTTTTTCTCCTCCTAAAACAAGATTTCATTAACAGCATAGGAGGTCTTAATGCCAACATATGCCAGTCTGTGATGAGGTAGAGTCAAAGTAGTATCAGCATGTTGGTAATTTATTCAAGACCTGAATGAGGGCTGTTCGTGCATTTGCATCGAAAAACACGCCCTGACGCCTTTTTTGTAGAGGGTAGAGGGCGGTATGTCAAAATGAGCTTATCTATGTACTTAGTTACCACCGACGTTCGCGCCAAGAATTTTCAAAGGAATCAACCCGCCAGACGTGTGCTTTGTTTGGTTCAAACAGCTTCGACCGATGTCAAACCTCACTGTGATGCCGTTGTTTCGGATAAAAAGTAGTTTTTTTAGTTTAACATTTAAATGAGCAAAGGAAAAGGAATCACTTAGTAAAAGGTTAATGTGATGAAGTGACAGGGTTGAAAACAAAAACCGCTTAACACTAAGTAGCCTGCAAAATTGGCCTGACTAAGGCAAACTCTTAAAGGGATAACCCCACCCACCGTTGTCTTAACTCCTTCCCTTACGGTGCGTCTCGATTGCAGTGCTGACTCTAAGCTTACTTCTACATCAATGACAACAAGTCGTTTATTATTTCCTTTGAACAGTCAGTTGCCAAAACACGCAAATGAGAAGTCACGAAAACATTCGTTATCGCCGTGCCAATAGCTCAGAAAATACCGCAACATAGGAAATTAAGGTTTTGCAATTTGTGATTAAAGGGGGCGTAGACGCACGCAGGCCCTTCATCATTCGTCTTGTATTAAAATGGGCCATGCAGTAGCACGGAAACACGAGTTAATGACTGAATATATGACCTGTGCGAACGCATACAGAAACAACGAAGGGGCGTATATCTAGCATCTTTTGGATTTTGGCGGGTTTTTTTTTACTTATCTTCGAAATGAGCATCACCATGATCGGAATTGTTGCTAGGACTTTGACAGCCGCAAGTCTACATTTACGGCTGCAACTTCGCCTTAATCGAATCGGCAACGCGACCATTGATAAGGTGAAAAAGTGAAGCACATCGGGTTGAGGAACGGGAGAGTAAAAAGGGGGCCTACTAAGCCTTAGTTAACGTGCTCAAGCTGATTTTACAGTTGTCACAAAAGCACGTGATTCTACTTAAAACAAAGTACAAACAATTTTCAAGTTACGCATAAAATAGCAAATTTTCACATTGCCTTTAGAAATAAATCGGCAGTAGAATTAGAAAATGGAACTACATTACACCAACACCGCAGACTTTAGCACTTTCGCTTGCCACTCGAAAAGTATAACAAATGAGCGGAGCTGTGTGAATTAATGATTGAATCTTTATCGTGAAAAGCAGACGGCATTAATGAATTGGACTGGATCAAAGCCGAGCCAGCTTGCCATAATCGCAGCGGCAACGTTAAATGGTTTCTAAACTCACTCCCTCGGAGAGTCAGCCACTCTTTGTTGGTCCCGACGCTGGCGAGTGTCTGCATCGGATGCTGAGTGACCGCGTACAACTCCTCATCGTTTGTCCAGGAATCCTTTGACATTCTCGGACCATCGGAAGAGCAGAAGGTCAATAAGTCGCTACCTTTGACCCCATGATTCGAGGAGGTGTTTATGGGTATCATCGCTTGCATGCAATGACGAGTGGATTGATGAGCCAATCACGATACGACGCGTATATCCTTTAGTTTTAACCATTGAGCACGCAGACACTTTGTCCACCAATGAGCAATTCACGGTGAGTGCAAACACTAACACTCAAGTGGGCATGAGTAGTTATGTTTGCGCCACAAAACTAAATGCGGTACTTGGGGGAATTTAGGAATGACTTACAGCTCTGCTCTATTAGGAAAATTCTTTTGCAAGAGTGTCGATTAGAGTCTGCAAGGGGAACAATTTAATTAGTGAGGAATTGAACATCCCAATTTTTTCAGGTCATTTGAAGCTGAAATTCCCGTGACACTTCTCTTGTGCTTCTAATTTACTCCAACTGATAGGACTTAAGTAGCTGACTAGATGGTCCACCAATCCTCCGCTTGAAGGAAAACCCAAACACCTTCCATACCTGGCTAATGAAGTTACAGGGCGGTCACGGCAATCCACCGTAAGCGAAACGTATTTCTCATATCAACTCAGACATTTCTGGTAGCTTTTTTTTGAACATTGAAATAAGTAAACTGGCTTTGGTTTGTAATTCACTGTTTGTATAAATCGTCCACTTGGAAGCAAAAGCCGTCACTGTTAAAACGAGCCTCTAAAAGCGCGAGCATTAATTGCGAATGCATTCTTGTGCTTTTACTTTGCCTATCAAGGTTAGGTTTGGTTTTTAAAGCTTTTAAAAGGCGAGTGAGGCTGGTAAACCACCAACGGATTTGCGAATTATCTTAAGATTATGTGTAAAACTTAGGCCATCACTAAGGGTTTACCATAAGTCAGTGACTTGTTGTATCTCCCTAGTTCTTTGTTGCGGAAAATAACGTTGTGATGTTTGGCGTTTATTACGCACTCTTAACGTGGAGAGGATCTGGTGCCGGTCCAAAGGCAACGCTGCTTGGTGAAAAACAAAACATGATGGTAAGTGCAAACGATGTCTTCAAGGGTTTGGAATTCACGCACGCGCTTTGAACCAGCAAAAATGAGGAATGTGGATGCAAGGAGACAAAAAGTACAAAATTCAGGCTTAATTGGGTCTCCTCGAAGTGGACGGTGACTTATGCAAGACAGGATTTCGCACCATTTAAAAGCGAAGGAATTGGATAACATTTTACCCATTTTACTGCCTACATTTTACGCATGTATCATTGTCAAATGCAATAAAAACGAAAGCGGTTTGATGCGCAAGGGTGCGTGGTGTGGAAGGCATAAAGGACTACTTCATCACTTTTTTGAAGACGTTAATGACCGTGGCTGCAAGTAGTCCCACAGAATTCACTCAACAAGTCAAAAGTTTCGTCTCACATGATGCCAAATTAATAACTAAAATGTAATGATGTAGTCTTCAAAAAATGTGGTTTAAAAATATGTGGTAGCCTCTCAGTTGCACCTTAAAGTATAAATGCGTGCTGACAGAACTTAAAAAACGAGTAGATGATTGGTGCATTCGGATGAAATTATCGAGACTCAACCTGTCGCCAGTTTTGGGTAATCTCAACTCCTGCTCAAAAGCCACTAGTAGTAAGTCTTCTCGAGCCAGGGCTACATTTGTGCATCCGCTTTAATGTCCAGATTAGAGACTGATTTTGTTTATGCACAAAGTGATGGTAGCGAAAGTGTTATTACTAAGCCATTACCATTCCCAGCGAGATAAATTTCCCTCAATTGAGGACCGATTCTCAGATAACCTAATTTGGGCTAAATTTCCAGGCTGTCCAACAACAACAACAAAAAACATCGAAAGTGCAATTGTGCGAGCTGTCATACGCCAAACCAACGGTGAAACGGGCTAGTAACATCAAAGCTGCAAAGTTCCCTTTAATCCCACCTTCCCCTTGTTCATGCAAATCAAACGCCGACTCATCAAAAATTCGTGAAAACTTTTCAGTTGCAACAGTTGTGCGGACAGGAGGCAAATTCTCATGAAATCTAAGTGCGTAGGCAATTCGAAGATTTGACTGAATGTGCACAATGCCTACAGCACATCACCTGCTAAAAGCGGGGTTTACCACATCATTGAAAAAAAATTTAATGCATTATCTGTCGAGAGGAGGGGAAATCGGTCCGATCTTTGTCCCTTCCACCTCTGCCTTCGCGCTCATTAATACGGGGCAACTTT